TTTAATGTAGTTATTCATATGATAGTTGATCAGACTCTTTAGACTAACATTTGAATTATTCATATAAGCCTATACCCTCATCCTAATCCTAACATGCTAACATGATATATAGTCCTAACCCTAGCTTTAACTATCTACAGCTATCGATATATTATTATACATATATATATCATACGCTTGTCGTCTTTTAAATCTTACATGATTTTTTTTATACTCCTGATTCAACCAGAGATATATATACTATTCTCATGATATTTATACGTATTAGTTATCAGATTTTAAATCATATCAATTTAAATCAATTGTGCCAAAATCACAAACTTAATCGAATTGGCCGAAGTATCATTCAGTCAATTCTTATAAATTGTTCTAGGAATTATGAAAATAACAGTAAAACATTTCTGCCGACCAAATCCTGTTCATATGTACTTGCCTCTTCTAAGGTGGCAATCTACCCGGAGTTGCTGCTTTGGATATGAAAATAGCACTTAACAGCATTAGATTTTCAGCATATAGTTCAAGCAGAAACTCTAGGTAAGTGGCTACTTCATGTGATATATTTCGGTAATCTTTCAGTTTCGACAAATATTAAAAGTGCCTACCTTCGGAACTATCCTTTGAGGAGAAGTTAAAGATAGAAAAGGTAATAATGTAAGTAACAAAATTTCTATATTTGTATATTGTTACCAGAGTTGGCATAGATAGTCAATACTGTACTGTAGTCAATCTTGACCAGAACAAATTTGACCAAATAACTAATCTATTCCAAGTATTTAGTACAATACTGGTCAAATTGGTCAAATTGTATATATAATATATATATTATTATATTGTATATTTGCATGATTATTTAATTAATAGATCAGACCAGATCAGTTTGACCAAGGCCCTTTGCCATTGACCAGCAAATTTTTGGTCGATCAACAATTTGGCCAACTCTGATTATTATTATTTATTACTTATGATGAATGTTTACTGATTATAATTTACAAATGCAAACTGGTGTGTAAATTTTAAATTCAATAATCTAAGAATTTAACATGCTCTATAAAAAGTTTGTATAGTTATTGTAAGCATTGTCCAAAAAAATATTCAGAACGGATTCGATTTTCTGAATGCAGTACGATATTGTACATTATATTGTACAAAAATGAATTTTTTGTGGTGACAACATTAGTTATAGATATTGTACAAAATCAGTATATGCTCAGAAAATTGACTCTATTCTGAACATTTTTTTAACAAAAATAGAATAACTAGAAAATTTTTAGGACATTGCCGGCAGAATTTTTTATAGGGACGTATTACTATGGTGCAAATCATCTAATGTACAGTAAAGACATCCAAAATTGATTGATTGGTTTCCTGAAATTATAACTCTCTGAAAACATGGTTAAATTTCCTTTTATTGGCTAAAAAAATTCAATTGTGCAACAACACAGTACAACGCATGACGGAAATTGCTATAAAATTTTTATAAAATTGTAGTGTTTTTGACACTTTTCAAGATCTAAAAGTGGCTTTTAATTAGCTTGACTTTACACAAGACCATTTTGATAATAAACACGCTTTGGAAGTGTTTTTTTATAGGATAAAAACAATCAAAAGCTATAGATTGTCCTAAGTTTTATTAACATGATCTCGACCAATTAATAGATTTTTAACCATGCTCTCTTTGAATTACTTTAGTAGTGCAAATTTGATGCTATAGGAAGACTTTCGTATGATTGGCTGTTTAAGTCTATTTAATTTTACATGATTATACAGTTTAAAGTACTTTTTTAAAAAAAGCAAACTACGAAGAATAAACAAAAAAGCAGTAGGGTTGTAAGACTCCACTATTAAAAATAATCAAAATCCCTTTTGTTTTAGAGAAGTTAGCATGATAATAACCTAATTCTATCTATTTTTAAGAAGTCGCTATTATGTTAACTTCTCTAAAACCAAAAATGATTTTGATTATTTTTAATGATGGAACCTACACCTTAATAAGCTTTTTATATACTTCTTTTTTTGTTTATTCTTCGTAGTTTGATTTTTTTTAAAGTACTTTAAACTGTATAAATAATGTAAAATCAAATGGACTTAAACAGCCAATTATACAAAAATCTTCCTATGAGATTTGATGTGACTAGATAATTTGCATTATACTTATTATATAATATTTACCGATCAGATTGTATTTGTATCATCACTTTTTTTTACTTATTATTATTATATAAAAAATTAGTGAAAATAATTGGAAATAATAAGTAAAATATGTAATTAAACTTTCCCAACTTTAAGAAAGTGGTTGTTGAGGAAGTGTTTATTGTGAAAGTAGTTATGTTGGAAGAGAAGTAGTTGTATTAATAGGGATAGTAATATTTTTAGATTCAGGATTCTATAACCTGATTTACTAATAATTAATATTAACTAAATTTAGAATATCTTGAACAAGATAAATATATTGATTTGGAAGAATTTTTAGATTATGATGTTATGGAAAGATTATCTTATCTAAATGAAATTAACAGAAATAATGAATCTTTAGAAATTTTGGATAATGATATGGTAATAATTCAGAATGATGATGATATTCAACAATTCATGATGACGAATATCCTTTAAATAAGGCCATGCAAAGTTGATTTTTCGTTTTGCATTACCCACCGACCCAAATTTTTCAAAATCCCT